TCAACCCTTGCGGTGGTTGCTTTCTCTTGTGCCATCTCTTTCGTATATCTTCGAATAGCTTCGGATGTAAGCGCAAGAAAATTCAAGAAGTGTTGCAGGGGCGTATCGTTAGCAACGAAGGAGTTTACGCTTGGAATGTTTTGATGTTTTGCACAAAGATAGGTAAAGCGAATAATCCAAAAGGCCCAAGGTTTGCCTGTATTCCAAGAGTCCCTATTAAATTTTACCAATTTGAAAATTTTTCAAAACACCGCCAAAACTGTCATTTCAACACTCTATAATAACCTATCGTTTCACTTTTGGCCCAACGCCTAACCTCCCCCACCACGAGATGCTGCCATGTGTACGACCACGATTTACTGCCCCCTTTCCCTATCCTGTCTTTTCCCTGTCAAGTCATCACGTGACGCACCGCCTCTTGAGCCTCGCACCTCGCTACCTCCCCCTCGAGGTCGGCCCTCCTTATGATAGGTCCCTCTACTCGGCTACCCTTCGCGGTCGGCCCTCCTCATGATCGGTCCCTCCACTCGGTTACCCTTCGCGGTCGGTCCTCCTCATGATTGGTCCCTCCACTTGACTACCCTTCACGGTCGGCCCTCCTCATGATAGGTCCCTTCACTCAGCTACCCTTCGCGGTCGGCCCTCCTCATGATCGGTCCCTCCATTCGGTCACCCTTCGCAGTCAGCCCTCCTCACGGTTGGTTCCTCCACTCGGCCACTTCTGGTCGGTCGTTCCTTCTCCTCGACCTTCAACCTCCATCTTCCTCTCTATTCCCTTCGTTGGACTAAAGCTGTACTTGGGAATGGGGGACTACTGACGTGGGTAGGTCCATAAAGGCCATAACCCACTATGAACAACCCAAGCCTACCACTTAGGGCCCAATACATAACTCAACTAGTAAGGCCCAGCACCATCTGGAAGTCAACATGGCATGAAGGACCAATGATATTCACACACGTGGCAGGTAAAGGGCAAGCCACATCAGCAGACAAAGATCTGCAAAGTTATTGCCACTGCACATCACCATTAATGCACCCCCTCACTGCATTTATTACGACAACACCTCTCCGTCGGGATAACACGCCCTCACCCTGAACAAGGTAAGGTACAGCATAGACTTTTGGCCAAGGTAACAGGTCGGAAGGGACAACGAAATGATTACCAAAGGATATAAGTAAATGTTGAAGATAAGAAGAAGGTTAAGCTTTTCCATCTCTAATCTATATACGTATTCCACTCTCTCTCTCTCTAACTTGCTCGTCGGAGGGTTTGCTGGGGGACTCCCCGTTCCCCGTTGAACTCTTGTGCAGGTTCTCTGGTGGGATTGGTCATTCGGACATTAGGCTTGAGAAGCGTAGATCAGTCCAACCTGTCCTACCAACAAAAACTGCATCATCATATTTGCCAAACAAAAGCCCTAGACAATTAGGCTGGTGAACAAGCCGAGTACTAGATCACCTAAATTTACTTTGAACATATTAAGCATAATGAGTTTTTAAATGTATTTAAGTTTAATTTACTTATCTTTTTGTATAAATTTTAAATGAATTTTAATCAAATTGATCAGGAACTTAACTAACATATTTTTTTTTATAATACATATGAGTTGAAATTTATTTCTCTATCCTAATTTACTCATAATTTTTAGTCATTTGGTCATATTTTGAAAATTTTATACTTCAGAGATTCTCACATTATTAAAAAGTTTTGAAAAATTTGTACCTCAAAATTTTCACATGACTCAGGTTTATATGAATGAATTAAGACCAAGGAAAAATTCTGACATAAAGAATTCATAGCAATGATTAATTAAGAGTTATCATTTGGCTCAAAACTCGTGGTTTAATCCAAACTTTTCCATGCTGTTGGATTTTACCTAGCCCAAACTTATACCCAATGAGCCTTGGGCTAAGCCTAGACTTAGGCTTTGTTGATTGGCCCAAATCATTGGCCCATGAAAGATGGCTGGCCCATTAGGCTTGGGCTAAGCCTAAACTCTTTGTTGTTTGGTTTCGATTTTCTAAAAGTAATTTTTCAATTGTACTTTCTTATTTTCGTTTTTTTTTTGTTTTTATTGAATTTTTAAAATATTTTAAGAATTTTTTTTTTAATTTTTAAACACACTTAACATTAATACTCATAAAAAGTATAATTTTTGTGAAAAAATCTTTTAAAATTCAATAAATACCAAAAATTAAAAAAATTAAAAAAAATTTAGTATATTTTTCATATTTTTATGTATTTGTTAATTTTTAAAAATATTTTTTCACAATTTTTTTGTTAGATATATCTAAACAAGGTGCATCTAAAAAAGAAAAAAAATGCTTAAAATTTTAAAAATATTTACTAAAAACAAAAAAACACGAAAAACAAAAAACTCAATTTTTAAAAAATTTAATCCAGAAAACTCAAACCAAAACATTATACCCAAAAAATCATTAAGTACTCTTAATTTTTAAGTACACCCCGTTTAATTATTTAAAATTTTATTTTACTCTCATTGCACTCTATTATTTTTCCCAATTACCCTCAAGGTAAACCCAAATAATAAATAATACACAAACTAAAAAAACTAAATTATTTCAAAAACTTTTCAATACAGAAAATAATAAAATAATTCTCAAATACAAAAAGGAAAAAAAAAACTTATAAGTACATAAGCATTATAAATACAGAAAAAAAAAAAAATTAAAAAAATTTAGTATATTTTTCGTATTTTTATGTATTTGTTAATTTTTAAAAATATTTTTTCACAATTTTTTTGTTAGATATATCTAAACAAGGTACATCTAAAAAAGAAAAAAAAATGCTTAAAATTTTAAAAATATTTACTAAAAACAAAAAAACACGAAAAATAAAAAACTCAATTTTTAAAAAACTTAATCTAGAAAACTCAAACCAAACACATTATACCCAAAAAATCCTTAAGTCTCCGTTTGGCAAGTTGGGTTAGGAGCTTTTTTGGCTATTTTAGTCACAAAAGACAAAATAGGCTATTTTAGCCACAAAAAACAAAACATCACATCTAACCCATAATCATTACACTCTTCTCTCACAAAAAAAGTCAAAAAAGTCAAAAAGTTAAAAAGTCATTCTCAAACCAAGCTTTTTAACCCAGGCTAAAATAGCCCAAAAAGCCAAAAAGCCAACCCACTTCCCAAACCAACTCTAAGTACTCTTAATTTTTAAGTACACCTCGTTTGATTATTTAAAATTTTATTTTACTCTCATTACACTCTATTATTTTTCCCAATTACCCTCAAGGTAAACCCAAATAATAAATAATACACAAACTAAAAAAACTAAATTATTTCAAAAACTTTTCAATACAGAAAATAATAAAATAATTCTCAAATACAAAAAGGAAAAAAAAAACTTATAAGTACATAAGCATTATAAATACAGAAAAAAAAAACCAAACTTTTACATAAGTATTATAAAACTTTTCAATACAGGAAAAAAAACTTTTACATTATAAATTATCCAAGAGAATGCTCATGAAAAAATAAAAACCGAACTTATAAATAAAAACAACTCCAATAATATGTTATTGTTAATCTAATTACTAGGCCCTTTAATTTTTGCAAAAAAAATGATGTAGAAAATAATTAATCGTGCTCTACAAAAATTGTGAAATACTTACCTCCATTTTGATATGTTGCTTTAAAAAGTTATTTTGATTACACTAATAATTCAAACCCCCACAAAACATCACCCCACAACCCGCCACTTACTTGTGATTGGTCCAAGTAAGAAAGAGAAAGAAAAAAAAAAATGCAAACACATCATTGGTTCACATTACTGTGGGGGTGGTAGGGATTTCCCCAAAAGGGGATTCCAAACATTTTCCTTTTGATTATTACTTTTATTCATTATTTGATTTTATTCAAACTTTCTTTTAAGGTTTAAGGTTTTAAAATAATAAAAAAAAACAATGATGTTGATGATGATGGTGAGTTTTGGTAGATGGATTGGAGTTTTGGAGGGAGGATGAAGAAGAAGAAAAAAAAATAACTTTGATCTCTTAGGAAAGAAGATACAGAGATTTGAACAGGAATAATTGATTAAGGTGTACTATAAGAAAAAAAAATTATTTTAAGATTTAATATGTATTGTCCTTATTAGTAAATTCATATTAGGATATAATAAGAATTAAAATTTATAAATTTAAATTAGGCGTACTGAAACATATTTTAGGTTCAAATAAAATCCTCCAAAAAATACGAAAAAATGAGATGATATAAAAAAATCTAAATCTCGATTTATTGGGCCACGAGCCGGCCCATTGATCCATGATCGGCTATCCTTCGAGCAAGCCCATTAACCCAGGCGTGGGCTTAAGATTTTTGCTCACGAGCCAACCCGGCTTGGCCCGTTAAAGCCAACGGACGGGTTTGGACACTATTTCCGAAGCCTGACCCTGTCTGATACATGGTTAATTGCGTAATTAGTGAAGCATAGGTTGTAGAGAGGAACAATGGTGGGAAAAGCAACATTCCCTTTTTAAACAAACATCATTAGTCCCCTAAGGATCTTCCAAACTCGTTGGATTGGAGAATAGAATAACTTTCCATAATTCAGAGAAAGAAAGTAGAGAGAGGGAATCAGAGAAAAACTCTGGAGAGAGAGAGAGAAGACAAATAAAGCTTTCCATCAATCAACACAATTAAAGCTGCAAAAAACCATGTTTACCTACCCTTCAGTTAACAACAGGAATGATACACACTTTTTTTTTCTTTTTTTTTTAATTTTTATTTTATGCAGTCACATGTCAATAAATGGTAGGAGAAAAAAAAAATAAAAAAAATAAAAATTTGACCAATCTCAATACATTAAGAATAATAAAAGTCAAAAAAAAAAAGTCAAGAAAAAAAAAAAAAAAGGACTCTCAACCTTTTTCCTTCAGTTAATTCTGGATGGGGTTCCTTCAGTTAATTCTGGATGGGGGTGGGTTGGGATTTATTTATTTAATTAGATATGGGTCTTGTTTTACTGTGTCTTGGCTTTTGCTTCTTTTCACTGGTTTTCTTTCTATCATCATCATCATCATCATCATCATCATCATCAGTATATCTATGTGTTTATTTTTATTTTATTTTTTCTTATAAATTCACTTTAATAATCATATTTTGAGATATATATATTACAACTGGGTTACACATATTTTGGCAGTAATGGGTAATGTTAGTGGCAGGAAAGATGAGGCTGGAACCAAGATTGAAAAAGAAGAGTCCATGGAGTATGCACATGGTGGGGGTGCGCTTGTTAACTATCATGCGCATAATAGCCCCTTTCCAGATTCTATGGTTCAGTCCCCTCCTCATAACCCTAGGGCTTACAGCTCTCCTTTCATCTTCACTCCACAGGTCAGGTTCATATATATAAAGTATATACATTATCACTTTAAAATTTTGCTATTTTTTTTTATGAAAATTTATTTGGAATTTATTTTGTCTAGTTTTATTGGAGCTTATGTGATTATATACTTTGTAAGGGGAGTGTTTAGAAGTTGTGAACTTGTGAAAATTTTTGGTAGTCATGAAAATTGATTGGTTTAATTGGAGGGTTTTTTTTTTTTTTTAAAAAAAAAATCTTTATCTTTTTAGAATGTGTTCTCTTCTGCACTCACCAATTGTTTGATAGATGTACAAAATGTAGTTGTATGCTGGGTCTGATGAAGTTGGACATGTGATTGATAGGTGGAAAATGAATAGAATGTATTCCTCCTCTGGGGGACTTGTCATGTTATTAGTTAATTTCGTTGGGTTTGTAAAGTCTAATTAGTGTATATTGTTGTCTACACAAAAACTCGCATTGCAGTCTTCTCTTCTTTCAGTATAGTAGAATAGTATGAGTCGTGGACATAGGCAATCTTAGCAAACCATGTAATCTGCATGTCGTGCTTCTCTTGTTTGTGATTGATTCCTTTTGCTATTGTGTCTGTGTGGTTTATTCCGCAACAAGTATGGTGTATGGTGCTCTAGATAGGGAAAAAAGAGCCTCAGTTTGTGATTTGTGCCATTTTAAAATTTCACAGAAATGGAAGAGCATTAGACACAACTGAGGTTTGATTTCACAAGTCAATCACCAAATGTGCTTGCTTGCTTTGACAGACCTTAAATCTCTGTGAAATCTGAAATCAGAAATTGAATTTCAGGTCCCCATTGTTCAATTCCAAACTCATTCATTTACACAAAATGCAACACATAATGAAGATATGCTGATTTCTCAGATGGGGGTACCAACGATGATCACATGGAGTTACGGTGCCAAGCAAGTAGCCATTGTGGGATCATGGGATAACTGGAAAACAAGGTATGATATAAGAGATCTGTTTTAAGATTTTTCTTTCACACTCTCTCTGAAGTTTATGCTTTCAAAGCCAATACCGGATATGAACACTATACTGCTTTCTATCAGAGAGTTCCTACAAAAATCGGGCAAAGGCTTCACAATTATGAAAGTTCTCCCATCAGGTGTTTACCATTACCAGTTCATCGTTGATGGACAGTGGAGGTATTCTCATGACTTGCCACAGGAGTGTGATGACTCGGGGAATATTTTTAATGTTTTGGATTTGCAGGTAAATTCCCCTACAAAATAATTTCCAGTTTGATTTCATTCTCAAAAGAATCACTATCATCTTTCAGTTCTAGTTTTCTGAAATTTGGAAAACCAAACAATTGAAAACCAGTACTCTTCTTCCTAGCCTTAGCTATCTGACAAGTGTGACACAGTGACACAATCTGGCATCCTACTTCAAAGATAGCCAGCAAAATCTGTCATCCACCAAAGCTATGGTCTTAGCCCTATCAAGATGTGCTACAATGCCAACAACATTTAGCTCCCAAACTAGGAATCCCAAGTGAAGTACAAGGAATGTGCAACCCAGTCTTTCTAAATAAATTACTGTCCTCAATGATAAAATCAACAAACTCATTACCCATCTAAAACCTCCTGAAAGCTGAAAGGGAATCCATAGACTTGTTCTCAACACCAACGCGGTGATTTTGACCGAAAGTGTACTATTGGACGAACTCTACCCATCCAGCATATCGAGCATTCAACTTCTCACTACCATTTCAAAATTCATTTTAAGCTGAAATGCATTGGCCATCCATAACTAATCTAATCCATCTTCATCGTATGAAAGGGACACTCAACAATTATGGAAAGTGGAAAATTAAAAGTTTGTAGAATAATGCTTTAGCTTTTTGGTGATATCTACATTCCGATCCTTCTTGTTTGGATTTATTATTTGATTACATCAATTGCATATTACAAATTAGCCAATGTATTATGCAGGATTATGTTCCAGAAGTCCTTAACAACATTTCTGGGTCTGAATCTCCTCCTTCCCCTGATTCAGGCTACAACAACTCACCCTTCAGTTCAGAAGATTTTAGTAAAAAATTGCCCGAATTGCCTCCACTACTTCAACAATCATCGCTAGATCAGCCATCGTCCTCCAGGGACAGTCCTGAGACTCTAGAGAAGCCTTTGGCTGCAGGGTTGAATCATCTATACATTCAAAAAGGGTGTACTGGTCAATCTTTGGTTGCACTTAGCTCCGCTCATCGCTTTCGCTCAAAATATGTGACTCTAGTACTTTACAAGCCTCTGAAGAAGGTAATGAAATGAAGTATTTAGGATTTTTTCCATATAATTCATTTTGAAAATGATAGTTTATGAGGTTCTATTTTTATTTTTTTTTGATTTCACTGTCAAAAGGTATCATTGGATTCATACTTGTAACTTCACACCTTATACTTGTTTTGTTGTGCAACTCTTTGGAGCCGATGGCATAACTGATCGATAAGAAGGCAAACGCGGTTTTAGCATTGGTTTTGCCTGTATTTGAAATGTGAATTACAGGCCCTACTACACGGATAGAATCATGCTAGATTTTTTCATAACGCGGAAACCTTTTTTCACGTTGCTGGATGAGTAGTTGGATCTCATGTTCTTTTGAACTTAATGCTTCAAATAATGTTGAATTTCTTGGATTTCAAAATTAGATTTGGCATGCCATGTGGGATTTATTGTGCTAAAACAAATGTTGAACTTAGAGAGCACTGAATGACTTAACCCGCAAACCTATCTTTCTTTTAAAAGGTTTGGTTAAAACTTAAATCAACTGAACCATTGACAGACACATTCAAAGTGAGCTTTGTGTTTCAATTGAAAACAATTGGGAAAATTTAGTGCTATCTATAGATTGAGTTAAAATAATATGATTAGGTTTAAGAAACCCAAAACCAAACCATTGAAGCTTTATACATTTAAAAGTAAGATTACTAAAAATATATATATTACCAAACCATGAAGCTTTATACATTTAAAAGTAAGATTACAAAAAATATACACATTTGTCTAGAAGTTTGATTGGTTCTATTTATTCCCTCATCTCCTTTATATTTGCTTGAACAATTCATTCCACACATGCTCTTAACCACTGATTATTGATAAAGGGTGCAAATTAAATTAAATTTATGATCCTTTTGGAACATCACAAAAACACATTGATACTCAAAAACAAATATGCCTATAGACATATATATGCCTACATTTGAGAACTCAAATGAGTTGCAAATAAAACAGAGTACTCATCTTTCACACTGCCACTGTTGCTGCTGAAATCAATCATGTAGTCATTTCATCGAACGGGTACCTTGATCCAACCGTTGGCAAAAGCAATGGCTAAGATCACAAATGGGGTCGACATGCCGAATATGATAATGTAGGGAATGGGTGTTTTCATGGGATTCTCTCCTTTCCTCTCCCCTGCTGCCTGCCAATACCTGCACTTAGCAAAAATGCCTATTTTTGAGTGACTTATGTTAGCTCCTTTTTTTAAAGTACTTTTCTAGTTTTTATTAGTTAATATCAATGCAATGATTGAATTTGAAAGCAAGAAAAGTGTTTTGGAAATGCTAACAGACATAACTGTGCCTAGTGTCATGTAAGAAAGGATTCAGTGTGTTTGGATTGAGTTTTTTGGATTAAATTTTTTTAAAAATTGTATTTTTTGATTTTCGTATTTTTTTGTTTTAAGTGAATATTTTCAAAATTTTAATTTTTTTTTTACCTTTTTAGATGCACCTAACTTAGATGTATCTAAAAAGTAAAAATTTTGTTAAAAAATACATAAAAATACAAAAAATGTACTGAATTCTCATTTTTTTTTTTGTATTTTTGGTATTTAGTGAATTTTTAAAAGGTTTTTTCACAATTTTTTTTACTTTTTAGATATATTTATGTTAGCTATGTAAAAAAAATGTAAAAAAAAAATACTTAAAATTTTTAAAAAATTCAATAAAAACAAAAAACACAAAAAATAAGAAAGTTAAATTTTTATAAAAGTGTTTTTTTGAAAAACCTAACCAAGCAAGTTGATTGTCATTGAGACGCTAGCAGTTACATGTTTCAATGAAGATCCAACAGTTTATTTTTAAAGCATTTGCCTAGTTTTTAGGAGTTTACAATAGCAATGCAAATTGAATTTGAAAGCAAGAAAAGCGTTTTGGAAATGCTAACATTAGTGTTGCTTGTGTTATATAAGAAAGTAAAGCATTGGAAGGGCCTGGGATACTGTGTACCTAACAATGAACATGTCCCTCTGTCTCACCAATTATACCCATACAATTTGATTATTTTTTAAAATTAATTTAAAGGAAAATTTATAAATGTGGTTTGTGTAACTTGTCTATTGTGTCAATTTGGATTCTAATTCTATTAAATTTTCCCTTTCCTTTTTTGCATTGTGTTAATTTAGTCTAATTAATAATATTTGTTAAATAATTGAACAGAAATTAAGGGTAAAATAGTTCACTCAAAAGGAAATAGACCATTTAAGTAGAGTGAATGGATTACTTTGCCGCTTCATTTCATTGCAATTTATAAACATGCATTATGGATTAAACTAAATTGACATAATGTGAAAAATTTAACTTAGAGTTGATTCAATTAAAACTACAAAAACCAAATTGAAACAAAAGTCAATCTACAAAAACATGTATAATTTTCCCTCAGCTAAAAATCAAATCATGTAACTATGAGTGCATAAGATATGAACTTTTGGACAAACAGAATTTTGTGCCCATTGGAAGAAGCCTTACTGTTCTGGTTCTTGATCTTTGGTTATGAATTTCTTCTTCCCTCCTTGCTTGACTTCTCCCTCTCCTCCACCTAACAACCACCAAAACCCTTTTTATCAAATCATCAAAACATAAAAGCAAAACAAAAATGAATGAAATGTAGAAATGTATCTTAAACCTAGCTCTGCATGAACCCTAAAATGATAGTGAACTCTTGTTCCTGGTACAAAGGAGGGTTCTTTGGTAGAGAAAGGAAGTTTGGGACATAGAGAAGAATAGAGGGCCAGTTTGGCTGCCATTGCTAGAGGGACTGTGTGTTCTGTTTGGCCATCATTTCTTGGCCATCACATAAAGGGTTGTTTGGTTTTGGATATGGAACTAGTGGCACTGATATGATACCCTACTATTTTGGATATTATTAACCTTATCTAACTAATCAAACATATATATGACTTGTAAGATGCCCAAGTGGCCCACTTTCCTTTAGACATGTGTATGTGGTACTGAACCATCATCTTCAGATGTAAGTCACTAGAGTTTGGTGTACCAAGGTGCCTCATCTATCAATGAAATCACATTAATTAGTGGCAGTAGTTTGGTTCTTTTTGAATTTTTATTTATTTGTGTTAAATACAGTGCACTAGATAAGTTTTTAAAGTTAAATTATTACAGTAAATCGACATTACGAAATTAATTCAAATTTAAAATCTCATCTCACTAGCATTTAAGTGTCCCTCATGACCAATTAACTATGATGCAGGCCGATAACAATTTCTTTAACAAAGTTGTGAGGCACGCAAATTGTAAGTATCATTTATTGTAGTCTAACTCTCCGTCTAGATTTATTTTCTAAAAATTATAAAAATTGTTGTGTCAATGTAGAAAATTGACAGGTGTCAGGATAATTTTCATTCATTTTTATAAGGATAAATTATAAACACATCTCCTGAGATTTACTTAAATTACAAATTACTCTCTGTGATTTTAGAAATTACATTATGCTTCTTGAGGTTTCTAATTTCATAACAAATAAGTCATTTTCGTAATAAATCATCAAGTTAATTAATAATTTTTAATAATGTTAAAATTTTATTTCAATTAATAATTTAGATAATTTTATTATTATTGTGGGAGCCGAAAATTATATTAGACCCATAGGGACGGATGTGTATCCGGCCCGAAACATAACCTCTATTCGGCATATACCCCAGCCAATCAAGGAGCCGAATAAAATAGCCAGTATCCCAGCCAGTAGGACAGACGCCAAGTAGAGGTACATGTGACGGAACAAGGACGGGCCCAACCTAAAGGCCCAAAGGAGATACTATAAATACCGGACCACCCATCAGAGAAAGGTATGTGAGAATTATTAAGCTTAGCTGAGAATACAAGTAATCTTGAGTGCAGAGGCTAACTTGCCCGTCGAAGTGCTAATTCTGGCACTCCCGACTGGAGTGTTTATCCCTTTTCAAGTGGCTAGCAGAGGATCGCGAGCATTCCCCCCGGATCAGAAGAGTATTTCCAAATCACTTCTCCACAATTGGCGCCGTCTGTGGGAATACTCAAACACATCCATGGCGGGAGTAACGGAAGATACTCCGATAGTCACTGACGAAACCACGCAGAGAGACGACCTCACTCCAACAAACATGCTTGAACCGAAGACTATCCCCGTAAGACGCGCTCTGAACTTCGCCTCACCCTCAACTTCAGAACATGAGGCAATGCAAGCAATCATGAAACAAACAAAGTAGAACGAACAAAGGTTGGAGAACATGATCGCAAAAAACGAACGTCTCCATCAGGATTTGGCCTTTGAGGTGGCGAAGTCCAAAGAAGTTGTACGCCAAGATCCGGAACGACCTGTGAGAGCAGGAGGTCGACGATCTCGAGCCCGACAACAAGACGCTCATAGTGACTCTGACTCATTATCCCCAGAGCCCAAAAAGAAGGGAAGATCTGAAATTTCCAGCTCCTTTGAAGAGAGTCCACGTATAAGGCATAAACGCAGACGAAATAGCTTAAATGAAGAAGACCGGCACGATCCCTTCATACGACAGATTGCAAAGGCAGTGCTACCCAAGAAATTCAAAGCACTGTCATTCACCTTGTACGACGGTAAATCAGATCCCACCGATCACATCCGCCACTACAAGCAAGCCATGACATTGCATGCAGATGACAAGGCCCTCATGTGCCGAATATTTCCCAACAGTTTGGGACCATTGACCGTCAGGTGGTTTTATAAACTGGAGCCGGCTTCGATTAAAACCTTCCACCAATTACAGAAATCCTTCAGGGCTAGATTCATCACCAACAAGGTCCAGCCGAAACAAGCCGACACTCTCTGGGCAATGCAAATCCTGCCAGGAGAAACACTAAGAGCTTATTCGGCGCGATATTGGGAATGCTTTAATCTTGTTGATGATGCCTGTAACGACTCCATGGCCATCACCGCCTTCAAAATGGGATTACATCCAGATAGTGCCCTCCGCAGTTCCTTGACTAGAAGACCCCCCAAAACAGTCTGGGGGTCGATGAAGAAAGTAGAGGAATACTACAAAGTGGAAGATGACGCCTTGCGGGTAAAAGCCAAACCCATGGCCAACAAAACGGCCCCTCTTGAAATTGCTCAGCCAATAAGTTCCGTACTACCTTAGAGCCCTGAACCATGACAGCGAGCTAAACGAGACAAGAGACGGGAATCTCGCCGATCAAGCGATCAATGCTCACACCGAGCAAATGAACAACTGCAAGTTAATAGTAGGCGCACAAAGCACGCCAACAAGAAATATACGGAGCTGTCAGAGCCAATCAGCTTGGTTATGTCCAAAATTCAACATCTTTCGTTCTTCAAATGGCCGTCCAAAATGGTGGGACCACCTGACACGAGAAAGTGGGACATGCGGTGTGAATATCACAAAGATCACGGTCATGATACGGACAGTTGCTATGCTTTGAAAGACCACCTTGAGGAATTGGTGCAAGATGGTTGGCTCCAGCAACATGTCCAAAAGAGCGCAGTCAAAACAGTTGCCCTTCGGCAGGATTCACCTCCGCTTGGCGTCATTCATGTGATATACAGCCTTCCAACACCTCTTACCGTACACGTCATTCAGTCAGCCCCCCAGAAGCAACACACACCAACGAAACGTCCCCGCGAAGCTCCAAGTATTATCTTCGACAATTCCGACCTTATCGGCATAACACTCCCCCACATTGATCCATTGGTCATTGAACTACACATAAACCGATTTACCGTTGAACGCGTCCTCATAGACCAAGAGAGCACTTCGAAGGTTATGTATTACGAGGCCTTTATCAAACTCAGCTTCAACGAATCAAACCTGTCTCCGGCTCCTTATTCATTATTCGGCTTCACCGCAAATCCAGAGTACCCGTTGGAGAAAATCACACTACCCGTTTAAGCGGGCTCCCAAACAGCGGATGTGGAATTCTTGGTCGTCAAGATCCCTTCGCCGTATAATCTCATCATGGGGCGAACCTGGTTGCATACTATTCAGGCTGTGCCAAGAACCTATCATCAGCTGATACGCTTCCCGACCGAACCCGGCATTGACCCAGCAATCTGCACAAGCATGTTATCTCTTTTCTAGAAAGACACCAACAGAGTCGCAGGTCAACTCCACGGAAGTGTCGAATCGAAACAGCCTCGACGATGTCGGATGGTTCCCTAACGAAAAGCCATGGAAGCCCTAGGTGATACCAGCAGCAGCTTGCCAAGTCGTATAATTGGTGCGTTCAGCTGCGCCGCTACACACTGGGAGAGTTGATCCTGAAGGTACTTTCGGATGACAAGAAACCTATTGATTGTTGATGAAAAATTGGGTCCTAACTGAGGCGGCCATTATCAAATAGATTTCTATCGGCTCAAAAATATTTCAGGAAGGAGTTTGCCACGGCCCTAGAACTCGACGCACTTGCGAAAATTCTGTCATTAAACCCGACTTATGGGGAATGATTCCAGTTCTAAATGATTTGCCATGTACACATTCCACTTTTGTAATGCAAGGATTCTTGTTGAAAAAGTTGTAATCCCACCCACTGCGAAATCTAGTTAAAGAGTGCTCCGACAAAAAAAGTCTCCGGATTCGGAGCCCCCTTGGTGCATGAAGCCTTTGGGCCGAAAAAGCCTCCGGATTTGGAGCGCCCTTCGTGGATATCACGATTGGCCAAAAAGTCTCCGGATTCGAAGCCCCCTCGGCGCATGAAGCCTTTGGGCCGAAAAAGCTTCCGGATTCGAAACGCCCTCGTAGATATCACGATTGGCCAAAAAGTCTCTGGATTCGAAGCCCCCTCGGCGCTGACATCTTTGGGTTGAAAAAGCCTCCGAATTTGGAGGATATCACGATTGGGCAGTCTCTGGATTCGGAGCCCCCTCGGCGCATGACGTCTTTGGGTCAAAAAAGCCTCCAGATTCGGAACACCCTTCGTGGATATCACGATTAGCCAGTCTCCGGATTCGGAGCCCCTTCAGCGCACGACGCCTTTGGGCCGAAAAAGTCTCCGGATTCGGAGCCCCATCGGCACATGACGTCTTTGGCCAATAAAGCTTCCAAATTCGGCGGACCAAATGGTGTCCCACCGGGCGATGCTCAAGGGCTGAGTAATATTCCGAATTCGAAGCGCCCTCCTGAATGAAAAAACATTTACATATCAAAGCAGGGATATGTAAGTTGAGCCAGCACAACAGCATGAACAAAACAAAACGTGCCAACATTCGAAATAAGATGCTTAATTAAGCATATAAAAATTCAGAATGAGATATAAACTTTTAAAATAAAACATTTTATTCAATTAAACAATAATTACAAAAACGTAATCCGCGTTCGAGTATTACAATATCTATTTTCATATGGCGTCGCCTTCGTCCTCACCATTCTCAAACTTCGAAGGTGAAAAAGGGGAAGTGGTCGCGTTGGTACAGCGGCAACGCCGAATCAACGTCCGCTGCTCGGAGAGCATCCACAGCTTGGAATGCTTTTATCTGACCACGCTTGAATCTACGATGTTCACACCGGCGAGACAATCACCCTCGAGGTGGAAAGCTTTGACACCATAGACAACGTCAAGGCCAAGATCCAGGACAAGAAAGGATTTCCTCACGAAAACAGTAAAACTCAACGGCCGCGGCGCTACGTCGGCCTCATTTCTGGGTTGCGGTTGCGGAAAACTTCCCCGTTGCTGTTTCTCCCTTCGGGGTGATCTGTTTCGACGACTTGAAGGCTTTTCCCGTTCTTTGGACGCCCTACCTCTCGCACAGGTGGGTTCTCTGCTGCGATTCATTGCAGTATCAAGCTCAGTCGAAATTCGAGCTTCTCCTCTACTATTGAAGAAAACTCTATTTGAAATTTACACTTATCT